AAAAAAAATTTTTTTTTAATTAAAAAAAAAATATATATATATATATCTAGGAATGTCTCTGGAGTTGTTGCAGTTAGCATAGGTTCAGTTCCATTTCAGATAGCTCCTCTTTCCAGCTTACACTTCTCGATATCTGTAGGCCCCTTCCTGTGTAGTCGGTGTTACCTTCAGGGATTTTAATCTGTTGCACCAGTCCTTTCTGAAGCGGTTCCCTTTGTTTATTTGGCTTCTGTTTGCCATCTCTTTGGTGTCTTAATTTCCGCCCTGACACAGGCGGGTGGAGATGATCTCTTATTTAGGTTCTCTAGTTCAGTTTAGTCCTGCTACGGGGAGGGCGGGGCGCTGCAGACAGATACCGCTCTGTGTGGATAGCACTCACCGTGTTCCGGTCACACTGGGTTTGCCCCACTCACGGGTGTCAGTGCTTTCGCCGTCTACACTGCTCAGGCTCCCGGCTGCTCTATATGGAGCGGGCCCTGCGTTGAGTGCGGTTCCAGTTTTCAGGTACTCCACAAAAGCGCAGATTCGGTTGCGCCTGCGTTTTGTGCCTTCCCCGGCCTGAGCGGCCCAGGCAGCCAGAGGCTTGGGCGTACTCTCGCTGGGTGCAGCGCGCCTTGTCCCTCCGCGGCGGGCAGCTCAGGCAGCCAGAGGCTTGGGCGCAATCTCCCCGGGTACGGCGCGCTTTTTCCCTCCGCGGCCCCAGCGCGCACCGCCAGTCGGGTCTCAGAAGTCTTTAGATAGGAACCGGGGGCCTGTTTGCAGTGTGGGAAGGGGTGGCTTCTCTGGGGCTGAGTTTGCCCTTTTCCCCTCCGCCCTGCCTCCAACCTCCAGCGGGGATGGGCCGGCTCTTCTCTGGACTTTCTCAGTCCCTTTGTTTTGCCAACCGCCAGCAGTGTGTTCGGGCCTGTTAATTTTGACCCTTGCTATCCCACAGTTTAAAAAAGCTCCCTCCGATTGCTCTCAGGGTCTTCGGGCCGGTCCTTACCCTAAGCAATGCCGCCCGCTCCTCTCCGTCCCGCCCCCGCTTGTTGCTGGCGGGTACGGGCGTCTGGGGTACTTTTCTGCTGGGAGTTGCTTTTAGGCACGTAATCTGTGGGCCTTGTTGAATTTTTCCTCCCAGTTAGATTGCCGAAAACTTCCCCCAGTCCCGCCAGTGCGAGGGTTTCCTGGTGATTGGAAACTTCCTCTATTAAGACTCCCTTCCCGGGACGGGTCTCCGTCCGTAGCTCTCCTGAGTCCCTTTTTATCTTTTATATTTTGTCCTACCTCCCTTCGAAGACAGTGGGCTGCTTTTCTGGGCGCCTGATGTCCTCTGCTAGCGATCAGAAGTTGTTTTGTGAAATTTGCTCAGCATTCAAATGTTCTTTCGATGAATTTGTAGGAGAGAAAGTGGTCTCCCCGTCCTATTCCTCCGCCATCTTGGCTCCTTCCAACAGGATTTTTCTGTAGAAAATAGTCAACCAAAAATACTGTAGAGCTTACAGCTGAGTTTAATGAGAATGCATGATACATAATGAATATATGAAAAGAACATTTTTGCATACTAGTAAAATTAGAAAATAAAAGCTTAAAAATGCTGTTTATAATAGTGTGGAAGACGTCTACACTGAAAACTTTATATATAAACATTGCTGAGAGAAACTAAATACCTAAATAAAAGGTGAGATTAAACCATGTTCATAGATTGGAAGACTCAGTAGTGTTAATCTGAGCATTCTTCCTAAATGACAGTCGCAATCAAACCTCCAGTAAGTTTTAATAGAAATTAATCAGCTGATTTGAAAATGTAGGTAGAAATTCAAAGAACATGAAGTAGTCAAAACAGTCTTGAAAAAAAGGACAAAGTTGAATGTATTACCTGATTTCAAGACTTACTATAGAGCTATAGTTATCAGGCAATATTGAGATAAACAGATCCATGGAATAGGGTAGAATTCGGAAATAGATCTACATTTACATAGCTCATTTCAAGAATGGTTCTAGAATAACTGGATATCTTCATAGGAAGAAAAAACTAAACCTTGAGGGCTTCCCTTTTGAATCAGCATTAGAGAGTCCTCCTGACAATGTAGGAGCCACCGGTTCAACTCCTGCTCCCGGAAGAGCCCACATGCCACACGGCAGCTAAGTCCCTGCGCCACAACTACTGAGACTGTGCTCTGGAGCCCAGGAGCCACAACTTCTTAGCCGATATACTGCAGCTACCGAAGTATGCATTCCCTAGAGCCCGTGCCCTGCAACGAGAAGCCCATGCACTGCAGCTGGAGAGTAGCCCCCGCTCTCTGCACATAGAGAAAAACCCATGCAGCAACAAAGACCCAGCATAGAAAGGAAGATGGAAAACTGTCTTTATTAGCAGTTAACAGGATTTTTTCTGTATAAATTTTATTTTTTCTGTTGAAAATGAGTAATTTTTTAAAAAAGTGAATCATTTAAAAAAAAAGGAACCTTGAGCCATATCTCATATCTTACATAAATGCTAATTCAATTTGGATGATATACATCAATATAAAACCTTAAACTACAGCTTTTAGTAGAAAATAGGAGAATATTTTAGCAGCCTTCGAGTAAGCAAAAGATTTTTTTTAAAGGACATGAAAGGAAAAACAATCTTTTAAAAATGGTAAATTGTTCTTCAAAATTAGAATTTGGGGATCTCCCTGATCGTCCAGCAGGAAAGACGGCCTGCTTCCAGTGCAGGGAGCACTGGTTTGAGCCCTGGGTAGGGAACATGTTGTGCCAAAAAACACAGAAAATTAATTAAAAATTTGGCTTATCAAAAAATTCTGTTGTAAGTGGAAGGAATGTAGGAGTATAGTCAGTTGGGGAAGATAAGTTCAGGAGATGAATGGTGGTAATGGTTGCACAACAGCATGAAAGTACTCAAAGCCACTGAACTATATACACCAATAAATTGTTAAAAAGGTGAATTTTACGTTACATTTTACCACACACACAAAAACACACCCCATTAAGATGGTGAAGAGGCAAGCCACAGACTGGGAGCAAACATTTCCAACCAAAATATATAAAGAACTCCTACAACTGATCAACAAAGAGACAAAAATATTTATTTTATTTAAATATCATTTTTCTTTGGATTATTGTTTAAGCTGACCAGCTGCTTTTCAACTATTTTGTTGTCTTCATGCATTCTGTTGACAGGACAGTCTCAGTATTTGCAGGAATTTGGGATTATCCCTTCACTTGGTTTATGTAAATGTTAAATAAAATTAGTTTTAGTACTAATATCTAAAACATCTTTACCACTTGCCTCTTTATCCACACTGTGTTTCCTATCTTCAAGCCACCAGCCGCTTACCTTCTTTTTTGTTTTCTTAACATTAACTTCTCCAGAATCGTAGATTTATGAACTACAGACAGTTATTCCTACTCTTAACAACATTCTCAAGACATTTTTCAGTCACATAGGACAAAGTCCACACTCTCACAAATGTAAATTTATATTTACAGAATATGTATTTTGCCTACTTTCATAAATACTATAAGCATGTTGCTTTTCAGTGAGCATTAACTTAGATTTTTTGTTTATTTTTTAATTCAGTAAACTTGTTTACTTAACTACATGTAGAAGCAGGCTTGGAGACATAAAGTATATTTTTCTTTTATGCCCATGCTAAGGAATCAGAATTAATTTGAAAAAAGAATGCTACTTATACCCTACAGAAATAATGAATGACATAGCCCATGTCCTTAGGAATTTATAATGTGATCAGAGAAAGTGTTGTTGCTCAGTTGTGTCCACCTCTTTTTGACCCCATAGGCTGCACCCCATGGACTCTGTCCATCTAATTGCCCAGGCAAGAATACTGGAGCGGGTAGACATTCCCTTCTCCAGGGGATCTTCCCAACCCAGGGATTGAACTTGGGTCTCTTGTGTTGCAAGCAGATTGTTTACCATCTGGGCCACGAGGAAAGCCCTGGTGATCAGAGAAAACCAACACAACACATTTCTTTTTTTTTTAAACTTTTTATTTCGTATTGGAGTATAGCCGATTAACAAACAGTGTTCTGAGAGTTTGAGGTGAACAGTGTAGGGACTCAGTAATGCGTATACCTGTAAGAGACATTTCTTTGATAAGATTTAAGTTCTCAGTTTTTGACAAGAGATCAGAAGTAGAGTGATGAACAAGAAATCTCTGGGGAGATTTCTAGAGGTGTTGAGGATTTGGAAAGGCAGTATGGAGAGCCGCTATAGTTCTGTGCAAAGGAAGACTCAGAACAAGAATGGCACAACAGTGAGGGACTTGTCCAGATCAAAGCAGAGGTTGCTACTGAGAATTAGAGTAAAATAACGCTTCTAAAATTTTCTGTGATCTTTATTTGCTCAACTGTTCCTTCTGTAGCTTTTTGACTTTATGTAGTTGCTATCAGGGGATACTAAATTCTTCAATTATACTAAATTCTTATTCTTTCTACAGATTTTGTAGCCCTTTTTATACTACATTTAACAAAAGATACTACAGTGCTCATTAAGCTACCTTAAGAAGGACAATTTTTTTGTTTGCTTTGTTCTTTTAAAAAGCAAGGGCTTTATCACCAAGCCCTTGCTAAACACATTTTGGTAAAATTCCGTAGAATTGTCATGGTAATTAAGGATTGCTGTTGGGGGGAGGGATAAATTAGGAGTGTGGGATTAACAGGCACAAACTACATAAAATAAGTAACAAGGGCATACTGTATAGCACAGGGCACTATATTTAATATCTTGTAATAACCTATAATGGAAAATTTGAAAGAAAGAAATATGTAATTGAATCACTTTGCTATATACCTGAAACTAACATAGTATTGCAAATCAAGTATACTTCAATTAAAAAGTTGCTATAAATGTTTCTAAAAGCTTATTCAGATTTTTTGTACTTTGGTCATTCATGGGTAGCAAATGGTCAGTGGACTATGCTTTGAATAGCTCCTCTTTAGAATATTAATATTTTGTGTCTTGATAAAAGTTACTATATACATTATTTTTTAAACAGATATGCATCTTCTATTGATGATATTTTGGAAGATGAAGAACATTATGCGGATCAGTTAAAGGAGTATCTTTTTTATGCAGAAGCATTGCGGTAAGTATAATACATGTTCCAGATGCAGTCCTATGGCTGGTCAACACTCTCTTCATCTGTTACTCTAAAATAAAGAGCATAAGGTGATTTTTAAATGAATTCCTTCCCCTAGATATTGAATGAGATCTCACTGTATTCCTATCTGTTGCAGAGTGCTAGACATAGGAAATTTTTTTTTTTTTTCATTTATTTTTGTTAGTTGGAGGCTAATTACTTCACAACATTTCAGTGGGTTTTGTCATACATTGACATGAATCAGCCATGGAGTTACATGTATTCCCCATCCCGATCCCCCCTCCCACGGCCCTCTCCACCCAATTCCTCTGGGTCTTCCCAGTGCACCAGGCCCGAGCACTTGACTCATGCATCCAACCTGGGCTGGTGACCTGTTTCACTATAGATAATACACATGCTGTTCTTTCGAAACATCCCACCCTCGCCTTCTCCCACAGAGTCCAAAAGTCTGTTCTGTACATCTATGTCTCTTTTTCTGTTTTGCATATAGGATTATCATTACCATCTTTCTAAATTCCATATATATGTGTTAGTATGCTGTAATGTTCTTTATCTTTCTGGCTTACTTCACTCTGTATAATGGGCTCCAGTTTCATCCATCTCATTGGAACTGATTCAAATGAATTCTTTTTAACGGCTGAGTAATATTCCATGGTGTATATGTAGGAATTTAAGACAACCCTGATCCCTGGTGGTCAGATGATAAAGTGTCTGCCTGCAATGCAGGAGACCTTAGTTCGATCTCTGGGTTGGAAAGATACCCTGGAGAAGGAAATGGCAACCTACCAGTATTCTTCCCTGGAGAATCCCATGGACAGAGGAGCCTGGAGGGCTACAGTCCATGGGGTCACAAAGAGTTGGACATGACTAAGCGACTTAACACTGTCACTATATTTGAAACATTATATTGATAAAACCTGTTAGTCTCTGACTTCAGGGCTGTCTGTATGTTGTTCTTTCTGCTTTTTCCAGCTTGGAGATTGGAAGCAAAGTACACATTGAGTGTGTGTTATCATGATCTGTCATTAGATTGTATATTACCTTTAAATTCTGTGACGTTTCCATACCTGCATATTTTATCTCCTTAGTAAGATTGTAAAATTTCTTAACGTCAGGACTTTGTCTTCTGTGTTTGTGGTATCTCCTACAGGGCCAAACAGAATTCTCTGGGAGATATTCCAGTTTAGAAAAGTGAATCATTTTCCTGCCACTTTTAAAATCATTGTAAGAATTCTGTTAATAAAACAGAAGAACAATATTCCTTTGGCTGTTCAGTAGCTGGGATGAAAACGTCACATTGTTAGCCTTTTTCCTTCTAGAGCTTTGAGTAGTAGAGGTCACACCAGGCTTTTACCAAAGGAAGGTTGCTCAACACAATGGAATTCTTTGCAACTCTTAAAGATTATAGAAAAGATGAATGTATATTGATAAAGAAATGTGTCCTTGGTATATAGTTCAGAAATGCCTAGTTAAAGTCTAGAACAATATATACCACCTATTAATATGAATTGTGTCTGGATAGTAGAACTAGGGAGAAGAAAGTGTTCTTGAAACTTATTTAGTACATTCCTGTATTAGAATCTTTTTTTTTTTTTTTTTAGTGAGCATGGATTACTTTTATGATAATGAAAACTAATAGACATTTCTCAATAGAAAACTTTGAGATAATCTTTTTAAACAATATTCAGTTGTTATGTGAGATGATAGCATTAGTTCCAGTGCTGTACAAAAAAAGCTTTTTTAAAAAATGTATGTGATAAAAATTTAATTTAGCAGAACCTAAGCATAAAAACTTTATAAATCAAAAAAGGTTGTTTTCCATCTGGGCTACTACATTTTAATGTTGGGCTACTACATTTTAAGCTTAAAAATTCTATATATAAAACTTCTGATCATAGTACGTGAATGCCTCCACTTTACTCCCTGGGGAAAAATTTAACATGTTAATAATTAGAGAGGCCACAAAAATTAAATGGCAAAAATTAAATTTTTTTCCTAGGGCTGTGTGCAGGAAACATGAACTTATGCAGTATGACTTAGAGATGGCTGCTCAGGACCTAGCATCCAAGAAGCAGCAGTGTGAGGAACTGGCAACTGGGGGTGAGCTATTTTCCATTTGGGTCTGTGGTATTATTATAACGAACCTTAAGTGAAATGGGCTGCAGGATGCCTGTAGCTTTTAAAGGGGAGTAATTTGTGGACAACTTTATAATTCTTTTGGTTGTGATCTTAACATAAAAAGATATAAGCCATTAGGGACTTCCCTGATGGTCCAGTGGTTAAGACTACGTGCTTTCATTGCAGGGAGCACGAGTTCAATCCATGGTCAGGGAACTAAGGTCCCACATGCTGCGTTGTGGTGGCCAAAAAGTAAAATTAAATTTAAAAAATTAAGTCTTAAAAAAAAGCAACCATTAAAACATATATAGCGTTACAAGAAATTTTGCCAGATTGCACTGTGTAATAAGAACCATCTCTTTTCTGATTAAGTCTAAGTGGAAAAAACCATTATTCTTTGGGATTGAAATAATGACCTTTGCATGGTTTAATTTTATCACTTACATTGTAGAAATTTTAGTTAACTTTGAAAAACTTTGCCCTGTTAGAATCAGTGCCTCTCTCCTAACAGAGAACTTTTTGTGTACTTTATTCTTGAATCCTTACAGTGAGTACTTGTGAAGAAAATTTTGTATCTGACTATATTAGACTTAGATAATTTTTATAATCAGCTTTCTATTGTCCAGCTATTTCATTGGAATAAATAAGCTGTCATGGTGAGAGCACACAATCTGGAAGTAATGAAGCAGTGACAGTGCCACTGTTTATAAGTCATTTCATAGTTAACAAGTCCTTGACTTCCCTGCTGGCTCAAACGGTAAAGCATCTCCCTACAGTGTGGGAGACCCGGGTTCAAACCCTGGGGTGGGAAGATCTCCTGGAGAAGGAAATGGTAACCCACTCCAGTATTCTTGCCTGGAAAATCCCATGGATGGAGAAGCCTGGTAGGCTACAGTCCATGGGGTCGCCAAGAGTCAGATACGACTGAGCAACTTCACTTTACTTTTACAAGTGCTTGTGGGCTACCCACATGAAGATACATGGGGAAGGACCTTTGACCATGAAGCAGATACACACTGGCTTGATTTATTTTTAAAATCCAGGGGAAATTTCCAGTCCATTTTCAGGGAGCTTGGCTCTCTACTCCTGCATTTGCAGGGAAAAGCGTTTCCTTCAGTAAATTCCAGAGAGTGAAGAGATGGTGACGTTTGAGGCTTGGGTTTAGTCATTCTGTTTTATTAATAGATAACCAAGTTTTAGTGTGAATTATGCAGATTTTAAATGGTTTTTTCAGTTTGGTTTATTGTCGTTGTTGCCTGTTGAATTTTATCCATTTTTTATGATCACAGAATAATTGAAAAAATATGACTGCTGACATAAATAACTTGCCTAGTATTTCACCTGGAAGTTTTCTATATGATGAAGAAGCTCAGTTAAAATTTTTCCTTTTTTGATTCTTCAACATTTTCTAGTATTATAAGCCTTAATAGTAGCCCCTTGGTTGTATGGTTTGTGGTGTTCTGTCTGAGGTAGGGGGAAAATGACTATGTCCTCTTTAAAAAAAATTTGTGGTAAAATATACAGAACATAGCATTTATTATTTTAACCATTTTTCAAGTTCAGTAGTAGTAAGTTCATTTACATTGTTGTACAGCAAACCTGCAGAACTCTTCATCTCGCAAAATTGAAACTCTGTACTTATTAAATATCAACTATTAATTTCCCTCGTCACCTTGCCCTTGGCAGTCACCATTCCACTTTCTGTCTCTGTAAGTTATACTACTATGGATACTTCATGTAAGTAGACTTGTACTGTATTTGTCTTTTTGTGACTGGCTTATTTTACTTAGCACAGTGTCCTCAAGGTTCATCCATATTGTAGCGTGTGTCAGAATTTTCTTCCTTTTTAAGACTGAAAAATATTTCAGTGTATGGATGTTATTTATCCATTCATCTGTTTCTGTTTCATTTTAGACTGTGAGAACATTTTCTTTGAAGGGAGTGACTACCCAGCTCTTCGGTCAAGAAACTCCAGAGCAGAGAGAAGCCAGAATAAAGATGCTAGAAGAACAAATAAAGGAAGGAGAACAACAACTTAAGTCTAAAAATCTGGAAGGCAGGTAAAAATGCTGGGATGTTTAACATGGCTAGACTTTAGGCTCTGTGGCAGGTGGCTTATAACGATTCCTAGCTTCATCAGTCCCTGGATGTAGCCTCAATCTTCTAAAATACAGTGATTGACTATTCCTGAGAAATTTGAGTAATCAAAAATCATGTTACACAGAAACAGTTGTGTTAGTGTTGGGGAAAGGGGAAGAAGGAAGTGTTTAAACTTCATAATATTATTTTCTTGCACTTTACATGATTTCTATCCTTTGCATATTTCCTCTACTCTATTCTGTCAGTTAAAAGCCTCATCATTCTGCAATGCCCAGCTCTTGAACTGCTTCCTTTGTTAAGCCTTCTCTTATCCTCACAGGCTGTCACAGCACTTGGTTAATGCCCTTATCCCACGGCACTTTGTACAGTGTGACTGTCTCTGGCTAAATTACAAGCCCTTCAAAGACACAGTGATTGTGTCTTCTTCATCTTTATGTCCCAGCACCTTGCATATGACTTAGAATATAATTATTCCATAAATATTTTCAGAAATTCACTTCTCAGAGATCTGCCATGGACTTTTGGGCGCATTTTTCATGTTGTTTTTGTCAGTTTTGACAGTTGTTGAGTAGATCAAGGCAGACTAAGAGTTTCACTGATTTGGAGGTGGTTTTGTTAATTTTTGAAACTGCTGGTGTCAAGTAAGTCAAAGTTAACTCATGAACAGAGTTAAAAAGACAAATGGATCACATGTTTAAAAAAAAAGACAAATGGCTCTCAGAACTTTTAAAACTCTAGTTGTCATTTAAAGAAAATACATGATAAAT